GTTGATGGGGAGGCTATGCATGTGGGGAGGAGGTACTTGGGAAATCTCTGTATCTTCTACTCAAATTTGCTATGAACCTAAAACTACTTTTTAAAAAATAGTCTTAATTTTTTTTCAATTTTAGATGTATTTCTTTTTTTAAATTGAAAAATAATTGCTTTACAGAACTGCCTTGGTTTCTGCCAAATATCAACATGAATCAGCCATAGGTATACATATGTCTCTTCCATCTTGAACCTCCCTCCCTCCCACCTTCCTCCCCATCCCACCCTCTTGGTTGTCACAGAGCCCTGGTTTGTGTTCCCTGAGTCAAACAGCAAATTCCCATAAGAAATAGCCTTTTAATTTTCTTTTTAAACTCAAGGATGAAATTATGAAATGAGATTTGATACAATGTTCACATGTTACAAAATTATACAAATTGCAAAAAAATAACTTTTGGAGCTGGATGATGGATACATGGTGTTTTATTATACTATATGCTGATGTGCATTATACTATTTTCCTTGTGTTTGAAATAAAAATGTTTTTTTGTAGACTGAGCTGGAAGGGGTGGCACCCCTATCAGTTACCACATTTTAACAGGAGACTGACTTGGGATATCCAGTTTTTTCCCCTTCGTGCCAGCAGACAGGCCAGCAGAGGTGTCAGGAGACCCAGGAGCAGCTGGTATGGAGCCGCCTCTCCCCACTCAATGGGGAGCCTGATCCAGCTGCAGTCCCCAGCAATTCCATCGTCCCTGGGGTTCCTCCCCAGTGGGCTAGGGGGTCGGGCTCCTCTTGGCAGAGGCCAGGGGAGAGGTGCCCCTCCCAATTTGAGTGCCATTATCACCACCCCTTTGCCAGAAGATGAAAAGGGCAGGACTGCCTGGGGAGTTAATCTTTAGCCTCCAGACTGATCAGTTGCCAGGACACCCAGGAACTGAAGGTCCCTCAAGACACACCCTGCAGGCACTAAGGAAATCTGATGTTGGTCATGCCAACCATGAAAGCCTGGTTAGCACCAGCAGTATAGTAGGGTCTGTTGTCCGCTTGGAGGGTACCTGCAAGGCCGCTGGTCAACATTTGTTTTCCCGGTTAATGCCTGAAATTCTACCATTTACATTGGACCGGCCTTCAGAGAGACCTTGATGCCAAGATTTTGATTTTTCTTCCCCCAAGTTGAGAAGCTAATGAACGTCATGGACCATGCCTCCTGCACCAAAAGATTTGCTAACAATCTCAGGGGTTTCAGGACCACTCACCCCACTACACCTACCCACAGACACCAGGTAAAGAACAAGGGGTGGAGTTTACTAACTAGTTTCAAAGTTTTCCTGCCTTTGAAAGAATTATATCCCAGAGCTTTCTTTAAAATGCGAATGACTCTGGGAAGGTCTAAATAACTAAATAGCCCCCATGAAAGAGGTTTTCCCAGGAGAGGTCAGGGTTACCTAAGAAACTAACAGCCTGGGGGTAAGGCGTCTCTATAGGGGCTTACAGCTTTTCCTGGAACCTGGAGGGTAATGCCTTGAGCAGACAGAGCTAATAGCTGACTTCACTAGCACTTCCAAGAACCTTGTGAATTAAGTGCTACCAACATCCCCACTTTATGGATGAGGAAAACTGAGACTGGACTTGTTACCCAGCTAGTGGTAGAGCAGGAATCTGAAACCTCCATCAGCCTGAGATAAGGCAGCAGAAGCTCACCTTCACTTGCTCATTTGAGCTTCACAATGAGGTATCCTTTTTTGATGGAAGAAGACATTGAGGCAGTTCACGGAGGGCCACACAATGCCCTGTCTCCACAGGGACCCCCTTTGGGTCCCCTGTCCACCCTGGCTTATCCGGGACAGCTGAGGGCAGGCAGCCCACTCCCTGGAGCTTGGAGAAGGGCTTGCCGAGAAGCCTGAAGCAAGCTCAGGCCCAACCTGTCCTCACTGCCTCTAATTGTTCTCTAAAATCCTTTATATTGAATTATCAGAGTTTAATGGAGGAGTCGATGAGAGCCACTGTGGAGTTGCAAGGCCAGGGCTTGCTGAGAGGAGGAAAGCAAAGCCCTAAAGGCTCCCTGGGCCAAGTGATGGTATAAAATATGAATTTTTACATAACTGAGGGAAAAAAAAATAAACGGATGAGCCACCCCATGGGGGAAACGCCTCTCTGTATTTCCATTATCTTGGTTAATGTGCAGTCCTGCTGGAGCCCCAGTGGGAAAGGAAATACTGGAGCCTTTATCCTTCAAACCTCTTGGTGGGTTAGGAGGCAGAAATCCAAATGGCCTGGGCGTGTGCTCAGAAGCCCATTAAAATGGAGGGGACAGGTGGGGGCCAGGGAGCTGTACTGACCTGAAACAGTGTCTTGATTTGAGACACTGCCCCTTCTCTGGGGTTGAGAAAGTAGCCGCAGTGGGCTCAGATTCAGCTTCAACTCTGGGTGAAATACTCTAAACATGGTCTTCCCCATGAGCATCGGGGGTAGGGGCTGGTTATTTCTGGAGAACAGCCTCCACACTCAACACTGACTGAGCAGCTGCTTCCAGGTGCTAAGTACTCTGCTTAGTGATTTTCTTTCTTAAAAAAATATTATTCGGCCTTCTATTATATTCTTTATAATTTTATTTTACCGTTATTATTTTGGCTGTGCGGGTCTTCGCTGCTCTTCCCCAGTGTGCTGAATGGGGGCTGCTCTCTGGTTGTGGGGCCCGGACTTCTCCTGGCAGTGGCTTCCCTTATTGCAGAGCACAGGCTCTAGGGTGCCAGGCTTCAGCAGCTGCCGCTCCACGACTCTAGAGCATAGGCTCAGTAGCTGTGGCCCACCGGGCTTAGTTGCTCTGAAGCATGTGGGATCTTCCCATATCAAGGATCGAACCCTTGTCTCCTGTGATGGCAGGCAGATTCTTTACCACTGAGTCACCAGGAGAGCCCCAGTGATTTTCTTTTCTTTTTTATTTTTTTGTGATTTTCTTATATTAGCTCCTAAGGACCTATTTCTACAGATGAAAATACTGACTTGCCCAAAGTCACATAGCTACACACTGTAGTTTTTGTTATTCTGGTTGTTACTGTATTTTTCCGGCTTTGTGTGTTTGTGTGTTAGATGCTCAATTGTGTCCAAATTTTTGTGACCTCATGGATTGTAGCCCACCAGGCTCCTCTGTCCATGGGATTTCCCAGGCAAGAATACTGGAGTGGGTTGCCATTCTCTTCTCCAGGGTATCTTCCCAACCTAGGGATTGAACCCAGGTCCCTGGGTCTCCAGCGTTGCAGGCAGATTCTTTACCACCTGAGCCTCCAGGGAAACCCATTTCCAGCTTTGAGTAAGTGAGTGAAAGTCATTCAGTTGTGTCTGACTCTTTGCACCCCATGAACTATACAGTCCATGGAATTCTCCAGACCAGAATACTGGAGTAGGTAGCCTTTCCCTTCTCCACGGGATCTTCCCAACTCAGGAATTGAACCCAGGTCTCCTGCATTGCAGGCAGATTCTTAACCAGCTGAGTCACAAGGGAAGCCCAAGAATACTGGAGTGGGTAGCCTGTCCCTTCTCCAGCATTTCCAGCTTTACTGTGATATAATTGACATATAACATTGTATAAATTTATCAGGTATAAAATGTTGATTTGATACATATATTGCAAAATGATTGCTACCATAATAACTAACACTTAGCTAACACATATCTAACTCATTGCTAACACCCCTATCATATCACATAATTGCCATTTCTTTTTAAACACACTGTAGTTCTGATCATGCTTCAAGGGTAAAAGGAAAGATAATGTCCCTTACATGAGACATTGAAGTGAGTTATTCACAAATGACAGGTTTGGTTGATCTCTGATGGATCTCTTCCTGTCAACATTAAAGGACAGATTGAAACCTGCAGCTCCAGCCAGAAGATTATGTGGGGCCACATGAGGTGAAGCCAATAGAAGAACAGGCAGTGGAGGTGGGTTCCAGTCTTCTATTTTATCTTTCAAAGTCGCTCAGTTGTGTCCCACTGTTTGCGACCCCATAGACTGTAGTGCACCAGGCCCCTCTGTCCATGGAGTTCTGTTGGCAAGAATACTGGAGCGGGTTGCCATTCCCTTCTCCAGGAGATCTTCCTGATCGGGGGATCGAACCCAGGGTAAAAGGAAAGATAATGTCCCTTGCATGGGACATTGAAGCAAGTTATTCTTGCAGACAGATTCTTTACCATCTGAGCTACCAGGGAAGCCCCCTACTGGCTTCAAATTCTTTATGCCTGGGTTGTCCCTCTATTAAATGGGAATAATAGCACAATTCTTGTGTTGTTTTGAGATGAAAGCAAATACGATGGTTAAGGTCAAATGCTTAGCACAGAGCCTGTGGCACAGTAACTTTTAATGCCCAGTATCAATTGTTACTTCTTATTGTCCCTCACATCTGTATAGAGCTTTTGTGGTGCACAAAACATTGGTCTTAATTAATTGTATGACAACTTCACAACAACACAGGAAGGCGTTTGTGATTATTTTACCATTTAGTAGGTGAAGGAAACTGAGGCTTTGAAAGGGAGGATTCTGCCCAGTGAATTGATTTGTCGATTCAAGAACCGATGGAGATCTGAAGTTTAAAAGACAGCAGTAGTGAAAGGGTAAAATCCTCTCTGGCCCCAGAGGTTAGTGAGCCACCGCGAGGCTGGTATTCAAACCTAATGGTAATAGGGATCGTGGAGCCCCTACCATTACGTGACGACTACTCTCAGGTCACCCGGTAGGCTCGCGGCTCCGGGGCGGGATCGGGGGCGGAGCGTCCGCCCCAGTCCGCGGAGGAAGCGGAGGCCTTGCCGCGCCGCTCATTGGCTGCGGCCGGCAGGTGCATCCTCAGCCAATCCTGGTGCCGGGGGCGGGGCCGTCGAGGCTCACCTGGCTCCCGCGGCGCCCGGCAGCTCAGTGCCGTCCGGAGCCTCAAAGCACCTGTGAGTCCGCGGAAGTTCTGCCAGACTCTAGCCCGGCCCAACTCAGCTAGATCCTACTCAGCCCCCGCCCGGCCCACCATGGGCCCTCGGTGCCGCAACCTCTCTGCGCTCCTGCTGCTGCTGCTGCAGGTACGTTGGGTCCCCTGACTGCGCGGGATGCCTTGCGGCCCCATAAGCCACGCCCCAGCCCCCAAACTCTTCTCTCGTCCCCTGCTCCCTCTTATTCCAAAAAAGTTTGGGTCTAAAGGGCCTGAATGGCCCGGAAACTCCGCCGCGCTCAGAACTCCATGGGGAAGGGAGTGGGAGAGGGAGCCAGTGATAGCGAAGGGCGAGCGCGGCTTTGCGGACGGCCTCCCGCAAATGCCAGAAGTGGGGGCGCGCCTCGCTGCAGCCTCCGGGTACTCGGGTGGGCGACGGGCGGGGAGTAGCGGGCAGGCAGCGGGGTGGGCGTCGGTATGGGACGGGGAGCCCTGGTCTAAGTCCGGGCGGAGCTGGGAACGAGGAAAGGAAAGCGGAACCAATAGGTAAAGGCACCTGCCCTGTAACGGGTAGTGAGTGAATAGGTATGCCCCCCACCCCCCGGGATAAGAAAGGATGAAAAGAGGTCGGAGAGCCCGCGGTCTGAGGAACCGGATTTAGGAGTGCGAGCGGTCCCGGTATAGGGAGAGTGGAATTGGGAAGATGCCTCCAATGAAATTGGAAAGGAGACTGAAAGGAAAGGGGTGCTGAGGCTGGAGAAGGTGAGCCAGCAGCCTTCCCTCCTGAGAAGTCCTGGAGGCTTGGCGGCCACAGGTTTCCGAATGAAAGACTTTGACTTGGCTGGCTGGCTGCCCTGTGGGGAGGAGTGGGGGGAGATGGGTGTGGGGGGATGGGGGTGGGGGAAATGCGGGAGAATGGGGGTGGGGTGGGCCCACCCCTCCCACAGTCTTGGGGCCAGCCGAGAGGGGAGGGAGGCGCTGTTGGTTTCGGTGTGGGTAGGAGGGGGCCCCGCCAAGTCACCCCGGTTTCATACCTTTCCCCTACCCCAGGTCTCATCGTGGCTCTGCCAGGAGCCGGAGCCCTGCATTCCTGGCTTTGGCGCTGAGAGTTACACGTTCACAGTGCCCCGGCGGAACTTGGAGAGAGGGCGAGTCCTGGGCAGAGGTGAGGGCGCGCCGCCAGTGTCCCTGAGCCGGGTGGGATGGGAGCGGGCAGGGTCGGAGAAATGGCGCTCCTACGCCCGCGGGCTGGCCTGGGCGGGCCCCGTCTTTCCTGGTTCAGGTGACACCCTTTGTAGATTACGCAGATGCGGGCATCTAAACTTTCGCCAGGATAGAGCGTTGGGTTTGAGAGGCTGTCTTGTATGATTGACTTAGTTATGGGGCCCTTCGGTGTGTCCCATATTATCCTGACCGCTTTAAGACAGTCCTTTCCAACGTCTAACACTTGCTGTGTGGGAAGAGGGAGGTGGGGGAGGTGGTAATTCCCGTTTTTTAACTGATGAGCAAATGGGAGGCTCAGGAGGGGTGGAGTCCACTGGCCCCAGGGTCAAAGTGGGAATCTGATCTAGGTTCTGACCTCCAGGCCCCATTCAGCAGCTCTGGGATGACTGAGGAGTCCTATCTTGGTTACTAGGCTGTGACTTTTGCTCATAGAGATGAAAATATTTTTATACAGGTACTATTTCCCTCAAGGAATAGTGGTGTGTGTGTGTGTGTGTGTGTGGTTTTTTGGTGTGTTTTTTTTTTTCTTTTTCTTTTTTTTTAAAAGCCTGGTGGCCCAGACTCAGGGAATGAAAAACAGACACAGTGTACTTCTGGGTCTTATCACTGTGATAATCAGGATTCTAGATTTTGCTTTGTTTCACTTCGTTATTGCCCGGGAGTGAGAGCCAGGAAAGGTTGGTTTCTCTTCTGGTTTCACTGATCTCCAGGTGCTTATTTTCTATCAAAGGACTTTCTCCTCCCTCTTGATTTAGTTGACTGGACGAGTATCATAACAATAAAAGGAACATTTTTTGAAAGGAGGACTCTCCCACAATACCCCTAAGGGAGTTCACTGTTTATTCTTCCAGTCTTTGGCCACGTGAAAAATGCAGCAATCATGCTATAAAATTTTTTTCAACTATAGAAGTTGTTCCAACAGTAGGCGACTTTTTTTTTTTAACAGAGAAACTGCAGCTTGATTGATCAAACGTATTTGTTTTTCTGAGGCCGGTCTGTGTGTGTGTGTAGCTTTCTATTGGGTCAAAAAGGAAAAAAATAGGGTGTTGTCTGCTTGATTTTGCAGTGGGTCCCCCATTACTTGGCCCGTCTCAGCTTGATGTTCTGCTGGACCCCAGGAGTGATTGAGGACTTAAAGGAATACCCTCCCCTTGCCCTCGGTATTTCCCATTCCAGCAGGTTGATGAGAAATGTCCCGAAATGTCTCAGGACCTGCTTAGAGGACACTGTGGTCTATGGGCACGTGGGTGGCTGGGGATGGGTATCAGTGGGGAGCAAAGACTGGCTTCTGGGAGGAGGCAAAGTTGACTGAACCTTGAATTTAGGGCAGAGTTTAGAAACAGAGTGTACATCTGTGTGCGAGGTGTTGTGACACAAGTATTGATCACTTTCTTGGTTTTCTTTCACCAAGACATCTGGTAACACCAAAGGTGGGCTGGTCTAGTTTTTAATCCCCCACCACCAAGTTCTTGTATCTGACATGATATTATTATTGTTACATGATAATAATAATATTATTATATTATAATTATTATTAATAATCACACTTATTCACTTTTGAACCAGACTCTGGCTCACATATTTCACCTCATTGAACCTTATGACGCTGGGCACCATTGTCATTTCTGTTTTGAGATGAGGAAACTGATGCATAAGGCAATTCCATACTCTGCTCAGGGATCAACAGCTGGTCTTTCTCCCATTCCTTTCTCCTCTCAATCTCAAAAAGAAAAGTGTATTTGAGGAACTCATGCGCATTGTGAAGTCCTCCTCCCAGTGTGCCCTGGAGAGCAGAGGTGGTGATAGAACTGGACCCCGAGGGGGGCTGGTGGTGATGGAGGTGGACCAGACCCGGTGGCAGGTGGAAGGAGCCTGTAGCTGGTGGTTGTGATGAGAGAAGCAGCCTCTGGAATCCTGGTACTCATGATGTTGGTTCCAGTTCCCTTTCTGTCTCCACACCTGGTGGCTCAGCAGTAAGGCATCCATGTGCCAATGTAGAGGACCTGAGTTCAATCCCTGGGTGGGGAAGATCCCCTGGAGAGGGAAATGGCAACCTGTTCCAGTATTCTTGCCTGAAAAATCCCATGGACAGAGGAGCCTAGTGGGCTGAGCACACACAGAGAAACACACACACCTAGCCCCACTCAACGGATTTCCTGACGTTTAATTTTTTTGGCCTTTTTGGACCATAAGGTCTCTTTCCAACACATTGTGGACTTGCCCCAGGATGAAAGTGCCCTTCTGGTAAAAACATGCAACTTCAGGGAACTGGCTTTGTGATTTTAAAAGGCAACCAGGATTTAGGGAGGCAGCCTCATTCCCTTTGGACAGTCCAGGAAGATGGAGGCTTGGGATATTAGTGCCAGGTTTAAACATTGGCCCCATGGGGAATTTGCTGCATGGGAGCATGAGAATGAGGAGACTGTGATGTTATGTCCACAGGTGGCTGAAGAATGTCAGGAATAGGGTTTTGACCAAACTCAGGGGGTCTTGGGATGTAGTTTTCTGGGTCATTCCTGTGTCCTGTGAAATGGCTGAACCCCACCATCTCACTCAGCTTTGTATTTATTACTTTGGTTTCTCTCCAGGTTTTAGAATGGAGAATGTTCAAATAAACAAACAAAAAACACCAAAAGCACAACTGTAAATTGGTCTTTAGAGTTTCTGATTATTTTCCCTTTTTTTTTTTTAAATACAAACTTGTTTGCAAAACCCAGGCGTTAGTTTCGGGTCTCAGGAGTATTATCCTAGTGCATTCAGCTTTGAGTTGATTGAGGGGTGGTGTTAAAAAAAAAAGAAAAAAAGCCAGGCAGGCTTTCAAACTGATGGTTTCTTTGCTTCGCTTCCTCCACCACCTGGCTTTAGGCAAACAGGGCTTATATTTTGCGTTTGAGCTCTGACTGCTTGATGGATGGCCCATGCTCACAGGCACCCACCTGTGTGCGTTAAATACACCCATTTTCCCCTCCTTCTAAAAGATGTGCTGAAAGGTGATGGAAACAGTATGCAGGCCCCCTAATTAAACCAGGCTTTAGAAAACAAATATGGAAGCCTGGTTGGGGTTACCTTACATCATAAGATCCCCACTTCCCTGCCCCTCAAACTCCCAGATGTCATTTCCCTTACTGGCTCTTACTTCCCTTTACTGACAAGGGTTGGTGCCCAGACCCTGGGGAAGGAGATTAATGGCCCATCGTCCTGCCCTTGCCTTTGTGTCTCACGAGAAATGGCAGAAAAGACCCGAGGAAGGCCACCAAAGGAAAACTGGTGGCTGCTGCTTCTCTACTGGCCACTAGAACTGCCTTTCCCCTCTGCTAGGGAAATCCCTGTTTGCTTTTTGGGGCTTTTTATTGAGTGAAACTTTTTCCGGAATGCTCCTTCCAGTCTCAGATATGCCAGACGCTGAAATAATCAGCTCTCACATCTCCCAGAAGCTGCCAAAACCCCAAAATCCCTTAAAGGCGACCATCACAGTCAGACTTCCTGGGTTTCCACTCTGCCTCCACCCGCATCTCCATTTAGGGCTGTAGGCTTTCAAGGAGGCAGTTGGGCTGGGGTTGATTAGGATAGGAGTTCCAGGAGTTGAAAGTCCAGACTTGAATTTCCACTACTAGCTGTGTTCAGTTCAGTTGCTCAGTCGTGTCCAACTCTTTGCGACCCCATGGACTGTAGCACGCCAGGCTTCCCTGTCCATCACCAACTCTCAGAGCTTACTCAAACTCATGCCACTGAGTGGGTGCCATCCAACCATCTCATCTTCTGTTGTCCCCTTCTCCTGCCTTCAATCTTTCCCAGCATCAGGGTCTTTTCCAATGAGTCATTTCTTCGCATCAGGTGGCCAAAGTATTGGAGTTTCAGCTTCAGCATCAGTCCTTCCAATGAATATTCAGTACTGGTTTCCTTTAGGATGGACTGGTTGGATCTCCTTGCAGTCCAAGGGACTCTGAAGAGTCTTCTCCAACACCACAGTTCAAAAGCATCAATTCTTCAGGGCTCAGCTTTCTTTATGGTCCAACTCTCACATCCATACATGACTGCTGGAAAAACCATAGCTTTGACTAGTCTAGCTGTGTGACCTTGGGTAAATCATGTTACTTCTATGATCCTGTTTCCTCATCTGTAAAACTGGGGGGGGGCAGGAGGGCAATAATACTTAAACAGAATTGTTGTGAGGATTAAATTTGAATATTCGTTTCTTCACTTGGATTCTTTGGTCAACAACTGTGAGTTGAGCACAGATTGAGTGTCAGCATTGGGCTGGATATGGGATTACAGTCATGAATAAAGCTGATGTGCGTTGAACATAAAGTGAGAAGGATGTAAGGAAACAGGGAAGAGTCATTAAATGGCTCATATTTCTTAAGGACAGAGTTTGTACTCATATTATTTTGAACAAATGAATGAATGAATATTCACTACCTCTCACTCCTTGGTTTATTTTTCTCATCTCAAACTGTGGCCTGGGGCTAGCCTCTGGTATTGATTGTAATTGTCAGGGAGAATGGGATCTGTTAGAACTTTCTAGATGCTCGTGAGGGCTTCATGCCCAGCCAGTGGCTCTTGAGGCTGGGGTATACTGATAAGTGTGTCTACGGATATCGGGTACTGAGTGCTTCCCTCTGAAAGCCAGGGAGAGCACAGAGAGCAGATCTCAAACCTGATTCTGGAAATGGAAGGGCAGTTATTAGTCATTTTAATTTTTTTTTGGTCTTTGGTCTATTTAAAAAAAAAAAGAAAACTGTGGTGTCTCTCTCCTTCTCCTTCCCCACCTCTCCTTTTCTCTGTTACTAATTGAAGTTTTCCTTTTATATACTTCAGCTTTTGCTTGTTACTGTTGGGAGCATTTTATGCCCCCTTTCTGTTATTTTTCCTCTTCCCTTTCCTTCCTCTTATCAACCTCAATCCTCCACTCCCCCACCTCTCAAGGCCCAAGAAGATTCA